TGTGTCAGAGTGTTATGATAGCTGCTCTATCTATTGTCTTGAAGTCAGTATAATCTTGTTAATTCAGAGCCCGTACAATACCGAACTAAGAAATACAGAGATTATTTCCAGAACATCAAAAGGTCCCTTGATGAGGACTTGCTCCAATTATAGATAAGAAAGAGGTGATTAATTTCAAAAGTCCCAACCTTATCTGTTGTATTTTTCCCATTTGGTTATGTATAGTAAGGAATGTGTAAGAGCTGGTTGTATTGGGTGGAGCTTCCGGAACAGAGACATCTAGTGGTGACATTTTAACAGGATGTTACTCACTGGGGATGTCATCTGAGATTATTTGAAAGACACTGGAAAATGTTTAGAAATGTCTATAGTGTTTTTGCTAGCACTGGAATTGTATGCAATACTGCTGCTGGCCTTTTGAAGGAAAGTCAGGAGGATAGTGTCAGAAATAGCTCAACCTTTGATTATTAGTTCCGCGGCCATGAATTCCTTTGGTAGAGAAGTGGGGACGCCATGACCATTTTGACATAAAACTGTAATGGTTTGAATATTTAGTCTGGCACATTTTATGTTTTGTATATAAAACTTTTAAGTTGTGTTCTTGGCACCAGTCTTATCCAAAAAATAAGCAATATACTTGGACTGTCAGAAAAGGGTTTTAAATAACGTGTTACAATTTCAACATATTTGTTACTTGACTTCTTCATTCTGTGGACAATAGTGTCGCTGTAATTCAGGTGAAACATATACCCCTCTTTAGTAGTGGTGTGTGTTATAGCTACCTGGTTCGTGTAGTAGTGGTGTGTGTTATAGCTACCTGGTTCGTGTTATGTACCGTGTAGTAGTGGTGTGTGTTATAGCTACCTGGTTCGTGTAGTAGTGGTGTGTGTTATAGCTACCTGGTTCGTGTAGTAGTGGTGTGTGTTATAGCTACCTGGTTCGTGTAGTAGTGGTGTGTGTTATAGCTACCTGGTTCGTGTAGTAGTGGTGTGTGTTATAGCTACCTGGTTCGTGTAGTCGTGGTATTTGTTACTGCTAAAGGGAACATCAGCTATTTTATCACAAGTCAAAATCTACTTTCTAAATTAGTTTGGCATCACTGTTTAAGAGATAAAATTCAATTTATTTTCTCTTCAGCTAAATTCAAAATTATGCAATATGAGGGATATGTATATATGATTCACATTTTCCTTTAAAAAAACGTGTACTTTTAAAAAATAGTCCATCTATTGAACGTTATGTTAAAAACTAAAAGTTGTTTAAGATCAGAGCTTGGAAATTTGGTAATTAGATTCCAAATTGGCAACAATTGATCACTGGAACTTTGAATTGTTTTGTTTCAGAAACTAAAGAATATCAAAACTCGTATCCTTTTGATGTTCGTATTGGGATCCTGGCTGTGTATATATAGGTAGTCTCCATTACGGAGTTTGAAATTGTCAAACTTTACCATCATGATTCATAGTATGACAACATGAGTATCGGTAATCTATTTGGCCAGTTTATCCGATTGTGAAGAGTCTTGTCTACGTTGTGGCCATATTTTAAGATTTACAATTTGGTTTTACCAGGTTGTCAGAGTGTTGATTATTCAAGTACTGGTTCATGTTCAGTGTAATTTATTAGCGTGGGTTGATCTAGGCTTATAGCAAGGAACTATTTGGACAAGATTGTGGGTGAACGAGAGGGGCTCCTCCAGCCAAGTTTCTGATAAGGCACTTACAGTTCTGCAATCTTAGATACGCGTTTGATCATAAGTAAGCCCCCTGATGGTGTATGTTAACATGGGGTCTGTTACTAGGAGTCAGTGTGCAAGGGGGCTGAGTTTTAAAGATGGCTTGTTGTAATCCAACTGACGCCGATCGTTCTAGATTCTGTAAATGCTTCTGCTCTAGGGTTTGATTAGATATATGTTTCTTTTGTCTTTGAAAAATCAATAATGTCCCGTCACATTGATGTAGTCGTCACGTTCCTTTAGATTCACCATTACGTGATGTAAGTACAGATTGGACAGGATTGTCATGTCTGTGATATTGCATCATGGATCAAAATATAAAAATGGGGATGTATCATTTCTATTTTTCATCTACACCTGTGCATGATTTATTTATACCTTTAGGGAGTTCACATTGACCCTATTATTTGTGTTGTCTATTTTGTTTGCAGTAATAGAATGAATATGTACTGGACAGTCACTAATGGAGTTCATCTTGACCGTGTGCACAAGCTGGACTCCTGAGAGTGTCCAGGGCTTTTCTCCTGCACTACACTGAAAAACATTCGGCTTCACCTTAGAGACTTTGTTTATAATGTCTTCTCATCCTGCTGGTCACCCATTCACCCCATAGATAGTAATGGGTGACCAGTAGGAGGAGATAGTAATGGGTGACCAGTAGGAGGAGATAGTAATGGGTGACCAGTAGGAGGAGATAGTAATGGGTGACCAGTAGGAGGAGATAGTAATGGGTGACCAGTAGGAGGAGATAGTAATGGGTGACCAGGAGGACAGTAATGGGTGACCAGTAAGAGAAGAGATAGTAATGGGTGACCAGTAGGAGGAGAGTAATGGGTGAATAGGAGGGAGATAGTAATGGGTGACCAGTAGTAGGAGGAGATAGTAATGGGTGACCAGTAGGAGGAGATAGTAATGGGTGACCAGTAGGAGGAGATAGTAATGGGTGACCAGTAGGAGTAATGGGTGACCAGTAGGAGGAGACAGTAATGGGTGACCAGTAGGAGGAGATAGTAAGTAATAAGGGTGACCAGTAGGAGGAGACAGTAATGGGTGACCAGTAGGAGGAGATAGTAATGGGTGACCAGTAGGAGGAGGAGATAGTAATGGGTGACCAGTAGGAGGAGACAGTAATGGGTGACCAGTAGGAGGAGACAGTAATGGGTGATGGGTGACCAGTAGGAGGAGATAGTAATGGGTGACCAGTAGGAGGAGTAATAGTAAGGAGGAGGTAGACCAGTGACCAGTAGGAGGAGATAGTAATGGGTGACCAGTGACCAGTAGGGAGGAGATAGTAATGGGTGACCAGTAGGAGGAGATAGTAATGGGTGACCAGTAGGAGGAGATAGTAATGGGTGACCAGTAGGAGGAGATAGTAATGGGTGACCAGTAGGAGAGATAGTAATGGGTGACCAGTGAGGAGGAGGAGTAGTAATGGGTGACCAGTAGGAGGAGACAGTAATGGGTGACCAGTAGGAGGAGATAGTAATAGTGAATAGGGGTGAGTAATGGGTGACCAGTAGGAGGAGATAGTAATGGGTGACCAGTAGGAAGAGATAGTAACCAGTGACCAGGAGGAGATATAATGGGTGACCAGTGGGAGACAGTAATGGGTGACCAGTAGGAGGAGATAGTAATGGGTGACCAGTAGGAGGAGATAGTAATGGGTGACCAGTAGGAGGAGACAGTAATGGGTGACCAGTAGGAGGAGATAGTAATGGGTGACCAGTAGGAGGAGATAGTAATGGGTGACCAGTAGGAGGAGACAGTAATGGGTGACCAGTAGGAGGAGATAGTAATGGGTGACCAGTAGGAAGAGATAGTAATGTTTCTGACCTGGACAGTGTAGACCTTCTGGTGCCTCATATGGCAGCTTGGTTTGAATATTCCCCAAGGAGTTGAGCATGACATTCAGTGCATAAGGATCCAAATACTGCTGTTTAATAATACACTGCCTTGACCTCTCCCTTGGTGACGGATTTAATGCATTATAGATGGGATTTATTACTATCATTAATAGTAGCATATGTGGAGCAATTAAATACGCTATACATATTCATGACCCATAATTTTTACATGCAGACACAATTACTGACATCAGTTTGATAATACAAATGACAGTGGTGAGAATGATGATGATGATGATGATGATGATGATGATGATGATGATACATATTGTCAATATCATGTTGAACGTGCTAATTCCAGAACACCTGCACTAAGTACTTACTACAGGTACAGTGAGGGTAGTAAAGGGATTGTTACATCTGTGTCTACTACAGATTGTATGGAATATGGATCAGATGTTATGTATATTAACTGCAAATTACAGAATTTGGACATGTGCCATTTTTCTGTGTTTCAGTATCACACAGTCAGAAATAGACAACACCAATAGATCCACCCACAAAGATACATAATAATACTTAATCGGCAATATGTTTTTCATGAAAATACCTGGACTCACTCTTTGTGACTTTCTGTTAAGCAATAAGTTGTAAATAAATGTTCTCACAAAACGAACCTTACTCTGTATTGAGTGACAAACCAAAATCATTTTTGTGTGATTTTGGAAAATTGTGTTCAATTACCTGTTCATTTAGACATCCTGATTGATCTTTGATTGTTTACATTAATCAGAACGCCACTATTCACAATGGCTGCTGAATGTGTATACCTGGGAGGCAGCTGACTGGGGATCATCAATTTACAGGTGTACAGTGAGACATGTTAGGTAATTACAGGTGTACAGTGAGACCTGTCAGGTATTTACAGGTGTACAGTGAGACATGTCAGGTATTTACAGGTGTACAGTGAGACATGTCAGGTATTTACAGGTGTACAGTGAGAAATGTCAGGTATTTACAGGTGTACAATGAGACATGTCAGGTATTTACAAGTGTACAGTGAGACATGTCAGGTATTTACAGGTGTACAGTGAGACATGTCAGGTATTTACAGGTGTACAATGAGACATGTCAGGTATTTACAGGTGTACAGTGAGACATATCATCAATTTACAGGTGTACAGTGAGACATGTTAGGTAATTACAGGTGTACAGTGAGACATGTCAGGTATTTACAGGTGTACAGTGAGACATGTCAGGTATTTACAGGTGTATAGTGAGACATGTCAGGTATTTACAGGTGTACAGTGAGAAATGTCAGGTATTTACAGGTGTACAGTGAGACATGTCAGGTATTTACAGGTGTACAATGAGAAGTATTTGGTTGTCACAGGTGTACAGTGATTATGTTGCACTTCCAGATGTTCGGGTGTTGTGGACAAGCTTCTACTGTGGTGTGGTGGCCAGGCACAGGAATGGAGTCTGTACGACTCGACTGGCCCCTACCTGATCACCCTCGATGCCCAGATAGAGGCACAAACAATTGTGGTCAATTCTGCCGTGTCACTCGATGCCTTACTGGAAAATGCCCGATATGTCAACTTTACTCAAGGTAAGGCCAAAATAGACTATTCCTGGTTTCCAGGCACTTTCCCCATCCCTGTATGAGTCTGTGTGACAGCCGATCCCACGTTAAACATACAGGACCAAAGATGGAGTGTAGCAACTATTATGAGCTGGGGTCCGAGTTCGAGTCTAAGCTTCTTAGTACTGATACTATAGTAATACTCTGTATAACTGTGGGTGGGTTGTTTGTCCTGCTGATGCAGTCATTGTAATTCTGTATGAGAAGGTGGGGTAGCCTAGTGGTTAAAGCGTTGGCTCGTCACGCCGAAGACCCGGGTTCGAATCCCCACATGGGTACAATGTGTGAAGCCCATTTCTGGTGTCCCCCGCCGTGATGTTGCTGGAATATTGCTAAAAGCGGCGTAAAACCATACTCAGTCTGTATGAGAAAATAATGTGTTGGACCGTCGATCAGCGTAATTGTGTGTAAGAGTATGGGTGTCATGTTTGTCTTCGCCCTGTGATCATCGTAATTCTGTGAAATAGTATGGACATGATGTTTATCTTGGCACTGCAATTATCGTAGTTCTGCGACGGTGTATGGATGTGATTTTTTTACCCAGTTCTGCGAGTTCATCTTAATTCTGTGTAAGAGTATGGGTGTGATGTGCTGCGTGCATCATAAGTCAGTGTTAAAGTATGGTACTATTGCTAATTTTAGAGCTCTAACCAGCTTTTTGAGAATACCTGAGTGCTCTTAAAACTCTTGTACTTTAGCAGATTTTGACACTTTGTTGTATTTGAAATATCACAAGGTGATCACTTGACAAAATGTCGGAGTTACGACCTTAAAGGTCACATGCAACGTAAAACACAACTTTGCAGATTCTGATACCTTTCGGTATGGACTTACTGAAACAAATCATCAAAAATGCAAATTCAACTTATTATCCCCCGCAACGCGTTTTGTGGGGGTATTAAAATGGACTCCGTCCGTGCGTGCGTGCGTCCGTCCGTCCGTCCGTGCACATTTGTCTTTTCCGGAGCAGAACTCTAAAACCGTTCGATATTTCTTCACCAAACTTGGCTCATAGATGGATCTGGTGGTGTACTGGTGCCTTTTGGTAGTTTTGGATTTCTGAATAAAATATTTTTGGCATTTCCATGGCAACGAGTTTGACTAAAACTGAAATTGGTGGTAGTGCTCTTTTCCAGAGCAGAACTCTAAAACCATTCAATGTTTCTTCACCAAACTTGGCACATAGATAGATCTGGTGGTGTACTGGTGCCTTTTGGTAGTTTTGGAATTCTGAATAAAATATTTTTGGCATTTCCATGGCAACAAATTTGACATAGACTGAAATTGGTGATAGTGCTCTTTTCCAGAGCAGAACTCTAAAACCATTAAATGTTTCTTCACCAAACTTGACACATACATAGATCTGGTGGTGTACTGGTGCCTTTTGGTAGTTTTAGATTTCTGAATAAAATATTTTTGGCATTCCATGGCAACAAGTTTGACATAGACTGAAATTGGTGGTAGTGCTCTTTTCCGGAGCAGAACTCTAAAACCGTTCAATGTTTCTTCACCAAACTTGGCACATGGATAGATCTGGTGGTGTACTGGTGCCTTTTGGTAGTTTTGGAATTCTGAATAAAATATTTTTGGCATTCCATGGCAACAAGTTTGACATAGACTGAAATTAGTGATAGTGCTCCTTTCTGGAACAGAACTTTAAAAACCTTTCAATACTCTCCTTCCACTTTTCTATATACACACCTAAATATTTGACATAATGATAACTCGTAGACATAATCATGAAGAGTATTTTGCCATTGCGGGGGATATTGATGACTTTGTCTTCTTGTAAAGTTGAAAAACAACGCGATGAAAAAACCCGAGCAAAATCGTAGTTCAAACGATTCACTAATTTTCCCCCAGAGCTTGGGGGAATTTAAGTGGCTTCAACAGCTGGGCTTCGCTCATAGCACATTCGCAGTGAAATAGGTTCACACAGCTTGGAAACGGGTTGTCCGGTGAATACTCGGTGAAGGCTTTGGTGTGAGCTATTTTTCTAATGTTTTGTTGATATTTCACAGGTGCAAGCTTTTTATATGTTATGACAGTAGATTACCGATTTGACTGTTTATATAATTTCATTTGTCTATTTCACCACACGTTCTTCTTACCGAGTCACTTTCTCAGTTCGATACTTAAAAGCAATGTCATTATTTAGTGTTGACAGAATTTCTAACTGTGATATAGATATAGATATGTCGTTGTCACAGACAAAACTCAATGTCTGTTTTATTGACACCTATGTGTCTGCCTGCACGTCTGCTAATGACAATATTCAATACACAACTTCGATCACTGACCACATGCAATTTGAACTTAACACCTATCAGGCTATACACCATAAACAAAACGCATTGATTTAGGCCCGTAGTTCGGTCTCTGTCACATTAAGTAATTACACAGACAGGCAGGTGTGATACTTGTACACATGACATGTTATGATGTCTGTTGTTTGCAAAATGTTACACAAAAAAAAATGAACATGTATTTACAAAACCCAACATCTCTATATATACACACACAATGAGCCGTGAGGGCATCTGCAAATGAACCAGCCGTTACACTTGAGTGCACACCCACCCGCTCTGACTGGGTTCGGTATCCCGGCTGCTTCGTTTCATGGGAAGTAAACCCAAGTACAATATTGCGCTTTTGATTTGCGATTGTACACTTATAATTTTGTGTATATGTTTTTCATAACCAGCAATGTATATTATATGTCATGAATAAGGGATAATTGTGATTTTTTAATTATGTTTGATTTTTGGTTGCATGTGACCTTTAACACTATTATAGTACTTTGTGTTAGAGATAAAAAAGACAAAAGGTGGTGTAGCGTTATTCGAACAAATATAATTCCATACAACTACGATGGCTTTATGAAATGTGCCTTACTTTAGTGACAAGGTGGCAGAAATCAGCACTAGTCATTCATCTTTTATCAACATTGTTGTGGCTACATGATACACACACAGTGTAATTAGAGTTGACAATGAAACACTCACTGCCTGCTGTTTGAAAGCATCAAAGTTTTCCATATGACATGAACATTCAGTTGTTGGACAACTGGGATTGGCTTCTTGCTTTTTGAAGAATCTGTGTCTTGACATTTATCACTGTTCTTTATCAGATTGAATTTGTTTGGTAAAACATCATTACAGATGTAATATATTTCATTTGGAGTTTGTCCTGACTCAAATATCTTTGCAGACTATTAATCCCATGCATTCTGGCGTCCATTGTGTTTCCGTTTGTAGTACTGATTGAAATGACAGCAAGTGTTCTTTATATCAGCACATATTGTTAGAGATTATCTCCCTTTGGTAGCCGCAACAAAAATCGCCATCGTCTTAGTGTCATCTTGTCGAGATCACTTGTCACTTCACAGACGGTCGAGGTCGCTAATTCCATCACTCGGGCTAAAAACCACCGCTAGGTCTCAAACGCCCTCAACATGTTTTGAATTAAAGCGTGCTTTGGTCGTAATAGCAGCCATTGTTGCAGTGACATGCTCAATTTAGATTGTGATTAATGACTACTTAATACGAAAGTGTGACGTCCTATTCAGGCCAGTCCTTTGCTTCGTTTCCGCCGGGCTTGTTCATCAAACCTAATTCTTCACAGTCCTCTTTCCACCGATTTGGCAAATCGGGTAATAATGGTATAATTGCCTTTTACTGACAAGCCATGAAACAGATTCAGGTGAGAATTTAATGGAGTGCAAAAGGTAGGTTTTTGTGATTGGGTAGAAACCGGGCATGTTTTCATTAAGAAGGTTACGGATGAATTCTTGTTAAATGATGTGAACGCTATAAGTTAAACATGTTCTATTCACAGATTGGGCCTCAGGCTAGTATTTGACGATTGTCGAAAGGAATTTGTTTTTTCCATTAGACGATATGGATGTACTTGCGGAAGTTAGCGATACCACTGTTTAAGGTGTGTTAAGAGTTGGTATCTGGATGTGGAACAAAATGGCATAGTCTGTCGTTACTATCTGGGTGCTGGTAGGTGTTAATGACAAATTATTTAACATTTACAATGTGAACTGTCATTTTGTGAAAGCTTTTACAGCCAGTAAGTTTGAAAATATTTGAATTTGAAAGACAAAAAAATACAATATTGTACAAGCCATAATTTACTCAATGAATGCTTGAGAGCATATTGTTGTTTATGAAGATCAAACGTTTTACCTGACTATATGTGATATTTGAGTGGATAACTTTTAAGATTAAACAGAGTATTTTCTGTTGCAGAATTTAAGCAATATGTTGTTGTTCAATCAACTTCTTAACAGGTGTACAGGCAGAAGTGATGATGAAGCTTGGTTTTAAGTTGACGACGGTCGCATTAGAAGGATATTTCATCCTATAGGAAACCCACATAAGCATAGGATATTATTAGGTCAAATACGGTATTGATGAGAACTACTGGGTTGGCACAGTTAGTACATGCTTGATATAGGTACTGGAATGGCACATTGAAATAATTTAAATGATACTCCTTTTCAAGTTTTGCAAGGTTTTCTAGGGCTGGATAATTGATTGAAAATGTTTGTATTTCCTGCTTTTGTTATGTAACACAGGGATTTATGGGACGCGAATTCCTGCATCCTATATGCATAAAAATAATTGACAACAGACGCAACGAAATTGATTAGCATGTCCACAGGGACGCAGAAAAAGTCCAAACGTTTTTTTTGTAAAAACTTAGATGAAGTAACGATAAGTTATCACTGAGTGTGATACTAGCCGGGTTATGGTTATTTGCATTTTTATTCTTGTGATAACCATGATACACAATACAATAACAGTAAATGGCAACATAGCATTCATGATAATATTTAAGTATCTGGGACCCCCATTTGTAGTCCAGGACCCCTGAAAATTAAGAGTATGAGTCCCAAGAACACTCAAATACAGGACTCAAGGTAAATCTCTGGTAACATTTCCCATTCATATATATACATGTATATGTGTATATTTCTGTGTTCTTTATTTTTAAGTTCTTTCAGGTCATATTTGTAGTAGTTCATTAAAACCTTGAAGATTTGCACATACATGGTGCTTAAATAGTTTTTTAACATGAAGATCAGTTGTTAAGCAGGGACATAGAATAATCAGATCATAAATTTGTATAAAAATTTACATTGCTCTTGCATTAAACTTGCAGTAAATTCTTTGGAAGGCCTTGTGTTTTGTATTAGTTGGTTTTCAAACATTTCGCTCAAATTCTTTAGAAGAATCAATACTGTCACTAATGAATAAAAAACATGTAAGTCACACAATCACATATGTATTATTGTAAAATAATACCCCAAAAATCATTGAATGCATCATTTTCGATGGAATAAAAAATTATTGTATTTAATATTAATATTTAATATTTTCATTTTACTTATTTGTAAAAATGGCATTTGATAAAATAGAATTAAACATTTTCAGAATAATATGACCTGAGGATACCTTTTGTACTGGTGTTTAAAAGAGTGTTGGTTGCAAAATGCATGTTTGGGCAATAAATTATACAGAGAGATAATATTGTTTGTGGTAATTGTTAATTTGTTTAGAACTTCGGTTTGATTTAAACATATTTTATTCACAAATGTGAAAGGGATTGGGGGACAAGTAATCCAACTTAAAATACCCGCTCCCTAATATTTACATACTTCGGTATTACAATTTAGTCCTCAGTTTAACTAAACAGTGAGTGAGTTTAGTTTTACACCGCACTAATCGAGTCTTGACCAGATAATCCAATGATCAACAGCATGGGCATCGATCTACACAATTGGGATACAATGACATTTGTCAACCAAGTCAGTGAGTCTGACCACCCAATCCTGTTAGTCAGCCTCTTATGACAAGCATAAGTTACTGAAGATCAATTCTTACCCGGATGTTCAAGGGTCTATCTTAACAGAGACAAATTTAAGTTTTCACAATTCACAGTGTATCATTTATGACTTTGCCACGCTCACTGTCACACATTTCTATTTAAGAATATATCAATAATTCCAGAGTGTATTGGAACCTGAAATATATCTTAATATGATAAAGGATGAAAATATAGAAAAACTGATATAATTTAGATCAGGTTTGGTACGGTTAATGATGAATGAAGTCAGAAGACATTGATTTGTTTCTACAAATATGTCACTCTGTAATCCCAGAATAGAAGATGAGTATTATTGTGTTAATATGTGCCTGCTTTGATGATGTATCATGTCTCAAAGACCCATTCTGACATAATCCTAACATGATTACCACAGGGAGACTTCTGTTATCCAGTCTGAGAAATAGGTCTGTATTCATCATGGATGTGACAAAGGCAAGCTTTAGTATATAGTTTAACCTCTTAATGCTGTTATGGAGGCGGTGGGGTAGCCTAGTGGTTAAAGCGTTTTGCTCATCATGTTGAAGACCCAGGTTTGATTCCCCACATGGGTACAATGTGTGTAGCCCATTTCTGGTATCCCCTGCCAGGATATTGCTGGAATGTTACTGAAAACAGCGTAAAAACCATACTCACTCACTCACTACCCGTGAAGATCCGGGTTAGAACTGATCTTCAGTAACCCATGCCTGTTGTAAGAGGTGACTAACGGGATTGGGTGGTCAGGCTCGCTGATTTGGTTGACACATGTCACCCAATTGCGCAGATCGATGTTCATGCTTTTGATTACTGGATTGTCTGGTCCAGACTGCTGCCTGGAACAAAACTAAACTCACTCACTCACTCACTTAATGATTATGATAACATTATGATTGTTTGTATCTAACTGAATATAAATTGGATTGGCCTCATTTTAATTTTAATTTTACAATAAAAATGAAATTAAACTTTATTTTAATTTTAATTTTACAGTAAAAATTACACTTTAATAATACTCTTACTGACATGTAAACAAATATTTTAAAGATATTGCAACTTGAAAGCTGTACCCTGCTGATTACTATGTAGCATTATCCAAACCACTTAGACATGGAGGCATTCAGGAAATGTCATACGATAACAACCACTTTTGTTCAATTTGCAACTATCGTGTTTCTCGTTAAATCAACCCAACTGGAGACGGCTTGAAGAGTTAATAGAGAAACTGTTGTGTATGAGATATAAAATTGTTACAAAGACATCCGTACAGAATAACCGTTGGACTGAGATGAAACACGAAGCGGTGAGACATGACGTGGACGGAGCAGCAGGTAGGGAAGAGTTGGGCCCATCTACATCTGTCAACGATCGTACCAGTAGTGAACTTGATGACAGAGAAATGTGACTGAAATTGATTGTCAAATAACGAGCGTGTAGTCCCCTTAGTGTGATGGATTGCAAGGCCTCCCCAAGGGGGAACGGCAGGCCAAACTCCGCTCACTGATGAGTTGGGTGGGTGTGATCGACCTGTGATAATCTTAATAATAATAATAATTATAAGTAATTTAATGATTGGGTATATTCCACACACTTTTAGGGAATAGTTAGAAGTGTCACAGACAAACTTAGTTATAGTCGTGCTATTATTTATTTATTCATATTTTTACAGTTCTTGTTTCATTGAGGCAATGTAGTTTCTCTTTTTTTATCTTTAAGTTTGTTGTCATTGATTTAAAGAATAAGTTATTGAATGTGTTAGTTTGAACATTATGTTGTATCAGCATTGTTTCAGATGTATTGTGATGAGATATTCTTGTTCGTCCAAGTAAGCTTATAATATGATCTGTAAAAAGTAAGCAAAGGTTCACTTCAGGGCTGGACACATAAACCAACATTATGTTTTCTACTAACATCAGTGATCTTTCACCTGTCTTTAAATGCTTGGCGCTGAATCATTGTTTTCTCCAGGAGCTGCTAATTGCCTGGTCACACTACCAAAGCGACAAGTGTGCCTGAACCCAAATGTTACTCTTTCCCATTGTTCCTGGCAATTTAGCTGTTTTTTTAAAGCTGCACATATTGTATGTATTTTCAGAATCTGACGAAGAATGGCTTAAAAGCTACATGCTTGTTTGGAGAGTGGATGGCGAACAGTTTAGCGCCAATGTCACAGGATATGGACGCAAGGTTTCCTATCGAAAAGTGTTCACCTTTACAAGAGCTGGCACCATCCATGTTGGTAAGCTGGGGACGCTCGTGGGGCTCCAAACTGCGGGGCTTACATTGGAGTATATCAAAACCACTCTTCTCCCAACGCTTCAGATTCAATTACACAGAATGCAGTATTACTTTTGGTTGTATATCTCACTGTCAGAAGATAGAGAACATTTTTTCAGATTCATCACATATCATATTTGCGGTGAATAGCTTTACGAACACCTTTTCCCCCAAAACATATTTGTCATGTATTTCATGTCCAGCGAATCAATACAATTGTCACACTGCCAAACATATTAGTTTACATGGTTGTAGCATCCTTGATGGAGATTAACGCCTTGTTGACAAACTGATGCTGTTCATGGAAACTGCCCCATACACTGCCACAGAGACTGCTACAGGGAACACACACTACCACGGACACTTGCCACAGAGACTACTGCTGCAGGGAACACACACTGCCACAGACAATGCCACAGAGACTGCTACAGGGAACACACACTGCCACAGACGATGCCACAGAGACTACTACTGCAGGGAACACACACTGCCACAGACGATGCCACAGAGACTGCTACAGGGAACACACACTGCCACAGACGATGCCACAGAGACTGATACAGGGAACACACACTACCACAGATGATGCCACAGAGACTACTACTGCAGGGAACACACACTGCCACAGACGATGCCACAGAGACTGATACAGGGAACACACACTGCCACAGACAATGCCACAGAGACTGATACAGGGAACACACACTGCCACAGACGATGCCACAGAGACTACTACTGCAGGGAACACACACTGCCACAGACAATGCCACAGAGACTGCTGCAGGGAACACACACTGCCACAGATGATGCCACAGAGACTGCTACAGGGAACACACACTGCCACAGACGATGCCACAGAGACTACTGCTGCAGGGAACACACACTGCCACAGACGATGCCACAGAGACTGATACAGGGAACACACACTGCCACAGACAATGCCACAGAGACTGCTGCAGGGAACACACACTGCCACAGATGATGCCACAGAGACTGCTACAGGGAACACACACTGCCACAGACGATGCCACAGAGACTACTGCTGCAGGGAACACACACTGCCACAGACGATGCCACAGAGACTGATACAGGGAACACACACTGCCACAGACAATGCCACAGAGACTGCTACAGGGAACACACACTGCCACAGACGATGCCACAGAGACTGCTACAGGGAACACACACTGCCACAGACAATGCCACAGAGACTGATACAGGAACACACACTGCCACAGACGATGCCACAGAGACTACTACTGCAGGGAACACACACTGCCACAGACGATGCCACAGAGACTGATACAGGGAACACACACTGCCACAGACGATGCCACAGAGACTGATACAGGGAACACACACTGCCACAGATGATGCCACAGAGACTACTACTGCAGGGAACACACACTGCCACAGACGATGCCACAGAGACTGATACAGGGAACACACACTGCCACAGACAATGCCACAGAGACTGATACAGGGAACACACACTGCCACAGACGATGCCACAGAGACTACTACTGCAGGGAACACACACTGCCACAGACGATGCCACAGAGACTGATACAGGGAACACACACTGCCACAGACGATGCCACAGAGACTGATACAGGGAACACACACTGCCACAGACAATGCCACAGAGACTGATACAGGGAACACACACTGCCACAGATGATGCCACAGAGACTACTACTGCAGGGAACACACACTGCCACAGACGATGCCACAGAGACTGATACAGGGAACACACACTGCCACAGACGATGCCACAGAGACTGATACAGGGAACACACACTGCCACAGACGATGCCACAGAGACTGATACAGGGAACACACACTGCCATAGACACTGCCACAGAGACTGATACAGGGAACACACACTGCCACAGAGACTGCTGCAGGGAACACACACTGCCACAGACGATGCCACAGAGACTGCTACAGGGAACACACACTGCCATAGACACTGCCACAGAGACTGATACAGGGAACACACACTGCCACAGAGACTGCTGCAGGGAACACACACTGCCACAGAGACTGCTGCAGGGAACACACACTGCCACAGAGACTGCTGCAGGGAACACACACTGCCACAGAGACTGCTGCAGGGAACACGCACTGCCATGGACACTTGCCACAGACACAAACCAGATACATTAAACGGCATTGTTAGGGACATACATAAAACTCTCAAAATCTTATTTTATGTCATACGATTGGTTCCCTGTTTTGCTCTGGTAAACTTTAATAAGTATGAGCTTTATCAAGTTGTATAAAATGTGTTTAGAAGCAGGGACAGGTTCCTATATATTTACCTAATCTGTGTGGTTGGATTTTTGCATGAATAAATTTTCAGTTTTGTAATAGTTTGAAATATTTACCACAAAAGACAAAAGGTAATATTCCAGATAAAACTCGTCCTCGTCAGATTCAGTCAGTTTTCAATGAATCATCATTTAATCATATATCAAACTGGATAACGGATAGTACTTCTTGTTCCAAATATCTTTTTATTAATCCAACAATGTACCAAACCTGGCACCATTTTAAGAACCAGTAATGTATATGGCTGGAAGCGTGAGGCCACCCCCTCTTGGAGAGCCTGTTACCATGTGGCGGCCACTTGCAGGAATCCATTGTGTTGCATGTATTTACACCGTGGTGCTCGGTGCAGGGGGAAGGCACACCCTCCGGCTCATATTGTTTCATTAACTTTATTTTTTTCAGGTGGTATTTATCCCCGAAGGTGTAGGATATGGCCGGTCCTTTTATAGGCAAACAATTGGTGCACCTCTTGTAATGTCAAAAACATGAACCACACTGTGTGCCCAACATGAAAAGAACGACTGGCGGTTGTTTCTATTGCCATGGTGGCTCTTATGACCCTTATTTGATTCTGTGGTCCGATTCTCGCCACTTGTGTTTTATATGAGTGTTGTAAATTAGCATGTTGTCGACATATTGTTCTACATAAACAAAGAGACTTTTCAACGAGTTGGCGGTTCTGTTCAGTGTACCTCGCCTGTGCTGACAAATTGTTTGGACAGACGTATTGACTGGTGTTCCTCCAGAATAGGATCATGGTTAAAGACATGACCCGCAGACCTTCAGCTTGGTACTATGTTAAAGGTACTTATAGTAAACCTTGATTTCACGAGGCGTTATTACAGGCTGTTATTCAGATCAGGGTTGCAGAGAATATTGGGAACAATTCCTAAATAGAATTTAAATTTCAACACAATAAATTTGTATTTAGTGTTTTGATAAAGTTGACTTTTATTTTACTTACAGAGAAACTGATTTTCAACATTTTTTAATTGAGGTTTTAGTGCTCTCTTAAACTTCCATGAAGTTTTTCAATGATATGGTTTTTATGGAAAATAATTCTGACATCATCTGCATCCAGCATGCATAAATTTAAACCCCCTTGTGAAATCAGTGCTGATACATCCCATTTCCTCTTGCCATAACTCTCATATTCTGCACTCCCCTTCATTCTGGACAAATACTATTTTGAAGGGCAGAATATGTATGAACAGTACCAATGTTTGTTGGAAGAGACATTTGTAAATCTGATCTCACTGGTTGCTCCCAAATCAGGGTCAGTCAATGATGAATCAGACAACCACAACAGGATTTGGATAGCAGGGTTTTATGTGACGCGTAAATGTGCGTCCAGTACAAACAAGTGTTGAGAATGGACACAGAAAAACAATTCACTGGACGCAAAATATTATTCATTGTACCCACAACACATCTATGACTTTGCTAAGTGTTTGGTTGTTTCTGTCAGAGCAGTGCATCATTTCATCCATCAGTCCACATGATCAATGATTCATGCCTGGCTCTAAAGAAATGATCAAAACATACACTTTGCTACACTGTTACTTCACAGGACCCTTGTATTGTCATTAGGACCCTTGAAACTAATAATTGGGAGTCCCGGGACCCCATGTTTGTGAGTCGAGGTAAAACCCAGGGTATATAGATGAGAGAGACAATTATTAGTGTTTCACAAAAATCTCTACAACGAATGATATAGAGAAAATATATCTGTATTTACCAAGTGTGTTACTTGATTAAACTGTAACGTGGATATTTCATGAATCGTATCAAAATGTTGTGTATAACCTAATTTACAATGTTTAAGTTCAACACATTGCTCAATGCATTGTCCGTGAATACACAAGTGATTTCAATTTTGGGGATATTTGAATTCAAATCTCAACAATTCAACCAATCAAATATCGTTCATGGATGCGAAAAACGTCAGCGTCTATAAACATAAGAAGTTGGGTGATTGTGTGGAGAATGGGTATCGGAATGCCAGGAACAATAAACCGAAATACATTGCAGGTGCCATCAAGCTCCACTGGCGGCGGAAGTCCGACGTCAGTTTCAGACATTTGTCGAACATATGAATTCTCTGATATGAACAATAGCAGCAACTGCTGATGCAGTCCCTAGAATCAGTTGACCTTTAGATGGAGTGTGATAGGTTGTGAGGATTTGAAAATCATGAAGACAAACTATGGAGAATCACGACTTGAACATTTAAAAAGTTCTGTTACTATTTGTGAAATGTTGTTCAGGCGAAATCTGTTATGGAAGTCCAGGAAGAACGCGAAAGACTTTGCTTAAAGGTTAAGAAAACCTCCAAAACTTGAAGGTTTTCATAAAAGATTTGTCAGGAAAGCGTCATTTCAAGCCTGTTTTTGTTACTGCAGTAAAACACTGGGAGGCTTACAAGCAGTTACATGTGTTGGCCAGGGTTGCGGGTAGCTGTAATATTGCTGACATTAATGTATAGGCCAGGGTTGTGAGTAGTTGTAATATTGCTGACATTAATGTACAGGTCAGGGTAGTTGTAATATTGCTGACATTAATGTATAGGCCAGGGTAGTGGGTAGTTGTAATATTGCTGACATTAATGTATAGGCCAGGGTAGTGGGT